GGAAAATCGATGCGGTTATCAGCGGTAACAAGCGTGAAAATCGGGCGCGGCAGGCGTGGCGACGACGCCGCGCTCCCGACGTCAGACGCCGGCGTCTGTCACGCGTCACGTGTCACGTCTCGGCCGTGGCACCGCACCGCACCACCACCGCCGCGCCGGCCCGACTTCATGCACCATGACAACGTTGTCATACTTCATAATTCTCCGCTATTATCCTGTTTTCCGAGACTTTTCAGGGATAAAATAGTGAGTTGGAATTTTTAGCCGGCATGCGTTGAAAATCCCGAATTTTGAAAATCTTTATACAGAGGGAAGAAGCTCATTTGAGCATACACTGGGAAAAAAACACATTGGATCTCCAGGAGGTCTGGGACAGGAGGTCAGGAGTCTGGACTCCACTGGAGTCCAGACTCTTGAAAACATTGAGAAGAAAAAATACTCTTGATTCACTAAGATTTTTGCTTAAATCCAAAGGAAATCCGCTCAAATTAAGAGGTTTATTTCTTGATTTAAGCAAAAATCCGATTAAATCAAAAGGAAATCCGCATAAATTAAGAGGCTTGGTTCTTGATTTAAGCAAAAATCCGATTGAATCAAGAGTATTTTTTCTTGTCGATGTTTTTAAGAGTCTGGACTCTAGATCCAATTTGTTTTTTTTTCCAGTGCAATTTTTCCTCAAAGAGATACACTGGTTGGTTAAAATGTATAAAAAAACTCGGTCTCTATAATATACTGTGCGGATTTAAAAACATATAATGCACTACTTGCATAGTTTGAAACATTTTGGAAAATTAAATAATTCATTCATACACCTGGGATGCCCTATCCTGCATTAAAGAGTGAACCGAAGGAGGTTCGCATATCCTATGAATATATTGTCATGCTAAGGAAAAACGCCACATGAGCCCTCGAGATTCGCCAAATTTCCCTAAATAAAATTTTTATCTAGAAGGAGGGGTTTGAATATTATCTCTTGAAATTTTCAGATAATTTAGATCGAATTGCGAATAATGTTTTCTAAAAAATTACGGGAACAATATCCACAGATTTTTCCGAAAATTCGTATTATAACAGAGGGAATGTGGCAATATCTGAGGACGCATACGGCGTTCATACTGTGATTCATTTGCACGTAGTTCTATTTAGCATACATTTATGTGATAAGGTGTTAATTACTCACCCTCTTTTGAAATATGTTCCCCAATTACAGCAGACTCAATCATGGCCACCCCTCTTCTCCCGAATCGATCAACCACATTTAACCCCCCCCCCCCCAAAAAAAAAAAACAAAAAAAAACCATTAACCTTAAAAAGCCTCTGTGAAAATTAATCAAAGTGAATTCTTGCACCATTTGGCAGGATGTCGCGGTAGTGAGGCACAGTGATCAAATGTTGTGGTAAGCCGTGAAAATGTGGCACCGCCATTAGAGTCACCATTAATCACAGGCCTAGTCAACATTTTTTCACCGCTTTTTTGTAGCTTTTCCCTCCTGTTTGAGGTGGTCTCGTGTCGCTAAGTGGAAAGAGAAGCCGGGCCGGAACGTTTTTAAAAAAGAAAATGCGGAAACACGAAGTGTCAAATATGTCTTAATTGAATTTTTTTCCTCGATCGAGATGTTCAAAATTGGACACATTTGCATGTTCATGTGACACCGTTCATTTTGACCTGGGTCAATCGATGACATTTTGGAATTTTCTTCCTTGCATTTGAATTATAATTTGGTTTTTTGGACGTGTCCTCATTATCTCTCCATTCAAATCCAAGCAGATCATCAATCTTCCGTGCAGAGTTAGAGCAATCTTTCTTACATGCGGAAAATGCAGGGGATGAATGGATTACATTTTGCAATAAGGAACCACTATATCTGGCTCATTTTAGAAACAACACCGAAAAATATGATGTGCTGTTTTGGCACCTAGGATGTCAAAAATGTGTCTGGTCATCCTAAGATGCTCCCTTGATTGCCCACGCAGTTGAATTTGCATTCGTAGGATGTAAAGTTAACTGCGAGGGCAGTAAAGGCAGCATTTTGGGATCATCAGACACATTTTTGACATCTTAGGTGCTAAAACAGCACACTATTTTTTTCAGTGAACATATATGCCACTACTGGTTTCTCTATGCAGACTGGCGATTTTATGGAAGATTCAGTGACAGTGGTTCCCTTTTGCAAAATGTAATCCATATTCGACTTTTTCTCAATGGTTTTTGTTGAACTATTATTTCACTACGGGTCGATAAGAATGCATTTTGAATATGGGGAAGGGTTTTTACTTTTAAAATGTCCTACAAATAATACAACTTATTGTATATATTATAAGTTCTTTCAGTTCGGATATTGAAGTAAAAATCCAATTTTGCTGAGTTTAAAATTGACTTGAATTCGATCTCTTCAGAGAGGAATCAATCCAAGATGCGATAAGTTTAACCAAAGACAGAGTTTTGGATTTAGCATTTATTTAGTTCTCCGTATACGTTTGGTTCTCTCAATATTCTTTCGTCGTAAAATAACCGGATTTTTAAGGTAATCGAGCAAGCAAAATCGGTTTTGCAAGATAATAAAATAATTATTGTGAGATCAAATCTAACTTTTTGAAAACCTTGTCTGACGTAAAATGCTAAGAACCAAAATATTTCAGAGACCTTCCATTATCTATATGAGCGATGCATGCAAAACGTAGGTACAAGGCACCCTGTTTTTGCAATTAGCAGAAGTCATCATTTTCAATTTTAAATGACGGGTCAAGGTACCTGCGAGAATAGTCCGTCAATATGTTTTTTTTTTTTTTTTTTTTTTTTTTTTTTTTTTTTTTTTTTTTTTTTTTTTTTTTTTTGTTTCATGCTGGACAGGACATATTTCGCAACGCAGAGTTCATCGGTCAATTTTTGGATTGATATGGTTCCTTGTTTTGAGAAGCAGAAATGTGGTACCTCCGAAATATTTCGTCTCCGATTATGACGAGTTCAAATTTAATATTTTACACTCCCTCTTTTGAAAAGTTCACTGTGTAGATAGTTTTTTTGGTCGCACGTCACTTTCAAGGGTGTGTCCCCAAATCCGCTAACAATCAACGTCGTTTTTTATCCGATATTTTAAAAAGAAAAATAATAACGTCACGAAAAAACCCCACGGGGATGAAAAATAACCCTCAACCCATTTAAATCTCGTTACGAGTCGGGAGACCAATTTTTAAGCTGTCAAAATATTCAATTCCGAGTCGGGGGCATTTTTCAAGAGCAGTTGTGCGGTCCGGGGTCCCTCCCCAGGGCTCGAACAAATTGCACGATAAACACTCATAAATAGGTATAAACAGTCCGAAGAATAAAGGCCGGGAACCGATAATGGACCGCGCCGCAAAGGTCAAGTGTCGCCAGGATTAATCAAAACACGGCGAGGCACGGACTGCACCGCCGCGGAAGAACAGCATAAGTGCAAGCGGGATTACAAAGGTAGTTGTGAGGTTTTCGGTGGGTGCGTTTGCACCGGTTATTGAAAGATTGATGGGCGGCCATTAGGGGCTAATGGCGGACAAGCCACTTTTCGAGTGGGGCGTATTAATCTTGCGGAACCCCCGAAGAGGATGCTCAAAGTTGCCAGCGATGCACTCGGCAGTCAGCGGCCACCACGCCGCGCGCCTTATAAATCGATGCTCATTTGTAACGTATTCATAGCGCACTCATCTTTTTGTCCTTTGAGCAGTGCCAACCGTCGCGTCGCAGGTTTCGAGTGTTCCGGGTCCTGGGTTTACCGGGTTTCGAGGGCATCTCGCGGTGAGAATAAGCGTGTCGCTTTTTAAGACCTTTTTAATGAGTGCAGAGAAGATTCTCCCAAGCTGCAGCATTCGGAGATTAATCTGGCTCGAAATCTTCTTCACGACCCCTATTTGCACGGTTCATGGAGAGACCACCCTTGCAGATTAATTCGACTAAATTTTAACTGAATTTTAGTCAACCCAAATAATAAACACGTGAGAGACTCAACAATATTACAGGCTTATTTAACACGTGCTAGAGCACAAGAGGAAGCAAATTCTTGCATGAAAAATGTATTAAATTTTCGTTTTAGTCTATCTACTTTTGGTGCTTCTTCGCCATCCTCAATACAAGCGAATCCAGGGGGAAAAGGGGAGATTGAGTTCGCCGAAAAAAGGAAAGAAAGGGGAAAAGAAGAAAGAGGGGAGTTTATTTAGGCAATTATTCATGACGTTATGGACTCAAAATGCATGTCAGATCCTTCAAAATTTTGAGAATTTCCCGGGAAGGCCCCCGAATTGCCCTTCTACCCACCCCTCTTTCGAAGTTCCTAGATTCGCCTAAAATTTCCAAACGAACTCTCGGGAAATGACCATTTTACTGCCAACAATCATAACGCGCCTAAAATCAAACCTATGATTTCTCTTTTTCCAAGACATTCATGTTCCCTAACTTTTGTGGCCTTCATTTCAAGTTTGAAAACTCTCTTCCAAAACGGTTTACCAGCTACATCGGCGTATCTAGCAAATTGGCAACATTGTCCTTCTCCATTTAAACCTATGAAAATATATCGATTCTTGGAGGGGCCGTGTGATCTGCCAAGTGTCGATTATTCAACATAGAGTCCCTTTATACTGAGAGTCAAGACAACACCCCTCATAAAGTCACAAACGGTAATAAAGATTACAGAAATTGAACGTTCTTTGTAATCTTTGATCGGAGCATTCTAAACTCCCTTCCTCCGTCCCTTCTCTCATTCCGTTTGTTCCTTGCCGAACCCGTAATTCCCTGGTCCATTCCAGATTATAATCTTTGCAAACGGTGAAAATGTAAACTTTATTCCCGTTTGTGACACTGTGAAGGCCTAAAATACGGGAACCAATCAGAAATGGATTCACATTGTCTTGACTCTCAGTATGTATAAAGGGACTCCAATTCAACATAGGTTTATATGCTGGAAACTCGGTGTTGCCAAATTGCTGGATCCGCTCTGCTAAACGGAAAATTACATGATAACATTACTCACCGACTCCAGCAACGTGAATCTTCTTCATCCACGGGTAGATAACCCGATCGCCAGACTCGGAGTTCTCGTCGATCATGAGCGGCGACCCATCGTGCATGAGATCCATATCGTCCTCGTCCAGCTCCTCGTCCTCGTCCGAAGACTCGCTCCCGTCCAGCCCCGGATGCCCCTGCGACGAGTGCAGGTTCTCCTGGTGCACCATGGATGACGTCACCGGGGACTGCATCTGGCACGGCGAGCCGTTCTTCGGCGAGTCCTCCGACGACATCATGTTCGGCGTCGTCGAACTCTGCAACACAGGCGGAGTATTCTGGATCGGGGGCTCAGCGAGGTGGTTGTGATTATGGTGGACACCATGCGAAGGTAGATAGTAGTTGTTGTAGTTGTAGTTGTTGGGGGTGACGAGGTTGGGGTGGTGGGTGTTGGTCCCGTGGAGGGGCGGCATGGAGCCGTAGGAGGTGGTGGTGGGCTGGTGGTGGTAGCCGGAGTACTGGTGGAGCCCGGGGTTGTGCGTGTGGTAGTAGTCCGAGTTGGTGTAGTTGCTCTGGCTGTACTCCTCGGCCGGGGGGAACTTGGGGTCCACCATCATGGAGCCCACCGGTTGATGGTGGATCGGCGCCGATTGATGGTGGTACGGGGGCAGGAACGAATTCATCCTCGTCCTAAAGTCGCTCGACGTCTCCACGATTTCCGGAATTTTGGATCGGGTTCGCGGACGCTTCGGTCGAAAGAAAATGGGGTCGCTACGCGGGGTTTAGCGTGGGGTTCGAGGGGTTGACGTACCGACACTTCACCGTAAACTTTTCTTGAATTTCTTCATTTCCAAGGTGTGAGAGAAATTCGGGGAGCCCGGGGTCATTCTAGTGCATTTTGAACATTTTTCGGATTTGAAATTTGGTTTTTTTCGTACGCCGGAATTTGAAGATGCCACCGTTCGGACCAGCTCGTCCCTGAAACAGAAAAATATGTATCATTGATCATGGCTTGGACGTAAAAACAAATAGAATAAAAAATTAGTGTGGATTTCATTACGCGAATCAATCGCCAACAAAGTCTCGTCACTTGGTCAGAAATTTTGAAGAGAAAGCCGAGGCTTATCTTTCTCCCAAAAAAACCCAGGTGAAATTCGCATCGTGAGGGCGGAACGACTCTGCCAAAAGAGTTAGTTTTGCTCCATACTCATTTTACTCCAGTTTTTTTTTACGGAAAATAGGCTTCAGATTGAAAAGCACTTCATGAATTTTACACAAAAATTTCAGACAACACAAAATGAAACATTTTTTGATAGTATTATTCACCTCTACCATCCAACGTTCTCCAAACCGTAATTCCCATACCCACACTCTTAACAGACCTAATTTTAAACCCATCCGCAGAGGGAAGGAACCTCTTGCAATATGATATTCAAACTTGTGATAGGGTGAAGAAATATATGCGTTGCTTTAAGCATTATGTGCGTTGCTTTGAGCATTATGTGCGTTGCATTGAGCATTATGTGCGTTGCTCTGAGCATTATGTGCGTTGCTTTGAGCATTTGATTGCAGTGTATTGAATTTTGAAAACCTAGATATCTGTATATCTGCGTTATTCCATCCTAGTTCTCATGATGTTTTGAATATTTAAGGGTTGAAAATTATTATTTCTTCTTCGAATTTCCTCTGACCAGCTGCACTCGTGAAAATGATCAGTTGTGTTTTTACGACCCTTGCGTTCCCAGAGTGAGAATGTTACTGAATATAATACCAGAGTTACTGAATAATGATAAATCCGTTTTTATCCTAGAATAATACATTGATAACAAGCAATAGCTCCTTAATAGTTGCCTGTGTGAGTATAACTAACACTCTTGAGCATCCAGTGGCGTTTTCTAGCTTAGAGGAAAACTTGCAAGAAGGGGAATGAACACGAGGGTGGAATGATGGCTACGCACATTGCTACTTCGCCTTCAATTTTTGAGGTAGGCCAAAAAACATCCGTCGTGCAGCAATAGCTATCTATTCAAGCATTGCAATCTTTCATCGTCTAAAAATTAAGCCTTGCCGTCATTAGTAATAATAATTTCCACGATTGATGATAAATATACATTTTTACAATATGAAAAAAAACTAAGCTAAATTTTAGGTGTAAGTACGATGCAATACTTTGTTCTTGTTATTGTGGTTCATTTATTAGCATATCAGAAAACGTCACTGGAAAAGGCAAGATGACGCCATCGGGAAATACCTTTGATGACGTCATCATGACTATTACCATATTATCAAGGTTCCTGTCTCACGTCATCCTGTCTTTCTAAGAAGATTTTTTCGTCAAAGATGCAAACTATCATCCCAGAGCCACCAAGAATCTTTCCCAGTTTAACATAAATACATAAATAAAAGTCGCTCCTACAACGCACTCTGGTGTTCTGCGACACCCAAACGCCACATACGCTTGTCTTTCCAAAGGTTATCGGGCAACTGACACCGTAACGTCTCTTCGTCAACGCCCTGCCGTCATCCCTTCACGGGACGTCCCCGTCGCGTTTTCCCAGTGTTTCCCTTTTCCAGAGTTTAAGCTCTCCGAAATCTCATGCACAACTTCATCGAGGTCTCTAATTGAAAGTTCATCAGGGTGTCATGAATTATGATTCAAGATGAACCAGCAAACGGAATTCCCCATACACTTCAGCACCCAGCTTGCTCAGCACGTAGAAACGAGGAATTCATTGATCATTAGCTCCTCGGAGGTTTAACGTTGCCAGCTTACGTGGCGTCGTGATCTTAACTCTGAATACTCTGATGAAGTAAAACATGTCAAGGTCAAGTGATCAGTGCGCCATGGCGAGAAAAGTCGTTGCTCCTCTAACGTAAGAGCGTACCTCACTTTTTACGTGAGCCCTGTTCTCCACACGACTCCATACTTTCAGGGGCTCATATGGAGATAGGGATACGCCCTTACGTCAGAGCAGCGAGAAAAGCGGGGGTGGGACCATGCACGTGACGTGGTCTCTGGACTCCACACGGCGTCGTGACGTTGTCAGATTCCATTAGTGTGTCTTGCAAAGGATACGTGTATAGCTGTACACGAGAATAATCCGTGCTGCTGATTTGGATTCGGATGATGTAGCACGATGCTGCCATGCTAAGAAAGAACGACGTATGATCATTCAAGCGTTGCCAAATTTCCTTCGATAAAAACTTAATTTACTGGAAAAATTGGGAATATTTTTACCCAAAATGTTCCCACAATTTCGCACTCGATTTTATCTAAAGTATCTGAAAATAATGAGGAACAGTACGCATACATTTTGTCAAAATTCTAAGTTCTATGAAAGAAAGTTTGGCAACTTTCGAATGTTTATACGGCGCAGCGTCCTTCCTTAGCACGACGGAATGGCAAGTGCACCGGGGGCTAAGATTTATCGCCCCCCTTTAATTTTAGCAGAGTAGTAGGAAGAGGGATCTCAAAAATGAAGCCTCCCTCTTTGGAGTCGTACAAATCGTCTGAAATAACGTAACTCCTTCAAAGACTGCATTGACCGAGGCAATTCAATTGTTTACAAAATTACACCTGTGCAATTTTTCCAAGATTTCTCTAATTTTTGCGTAAGATCAAAAGGAAAATCAACAAAATTTTCAGTCAGAAAGGCTCAAGGTATTTCAGATATAAATGCAATCCACGAGGGGAAAGGCAGTATCGAAATGTAGTTACATTCTTTCGTGAGAGAAACGACAAAATGAGGGGCTTGGATGACAAAGCGCATAGGTGCAATTTTTGAAAAAAAATTATGTATTCTAATGATTTCAACTAAATCTAATTTTGAATTACATTCTGTGAAAAATTCACATCCGAACTCCAATTTTTAAGCATGAAAAAGTTAGATTAAAGTTTCCTTCCGGCTCCATGAAATTTTGAAACTTTAAACACGTAGCTCTCGAAATGGCAAAAACTGTACATATGCGTTTCGTCCTCCAAGCCCCTAAAATCTAGATTTACTACTCTTCTCATGGGCGAAACTAGTCATTTTCTGTGGAGGGGGCACTGAGAGGCACCCCTCAGAATAAGATCTGGGAGGATTCGCCCAGCCAGTGAGCAGATTATTGAAATTGGTGGACAAAGTGATAGACAAAATAGGCAAGGAAAAAAATCGAGCTATCTTGTTGGCTCGAACGGGTGTTTGTGACAGACTAGGATAGAAAATGTTGGACTAACCATAAGGTTGTTCGTGAGGTGCGGTTATAGTTAGTTTATCCTTTACCTGTTTTGTATACCGCAACCACCCGCTTCCTCCAATAGGACTGCTCCATGTCTCCCTTGTCAATCGCTTTGTCTACCGATTCCAATAATCAGCCCGCTATTCTGATAAGAGCTCGTGGAATTCCTAAGAAAATTTGTCGACGTGTCTGGAGCAAGCTTTCCAAGTCTTTGCAAGGAGATGTTACTCTTACGTGATTTGTGAGGTCAATTTATATAAAGTTACGTACATCAAATTAGTGCATCAAGTACAATAATTACAAGCAGCTACATGTCCCAATAAAAGTATCGAGTATTCCATCCTCCAAAAGTGGGGCTGAGTTACGATGTTTTTGCGTGTGGCAAATTATTAAAATATCTCAGAGGTGTTTACTTCGGCCATGGAAAGCTGAGTTCTTACCACCGTAATAAAAATAAAACATTAGCTCAAAAAATAACCTTAGGACGAAGATTATGGTTGAAGCTGCACGATGAATTTCTCCGAAAAAAGTGATGTTGCTTGATTTGAGCGTCGTCGCTTTGATTCTCATAAGTAGTAAACAAATACCGAAAACTTAAGTGGCATTCTGGGTGTCAAAAATGTGTCTAGTCATAGATGTTCGCTTGACTGCATGCCCTTACAACATGTTAAGTTTAAACCTCAGAAAAGCAAACTTAACTGTGATGACAGTCAAGCCAGCATTTACGGTTCACTAGATACATTTTTGCATCCTAAAAGATAATTTAGCATATTATTTGTTTTATCGGTGAAATGTGTACCTATATTTGGTTCATAATCACTTGGGTGCTCATTTGGAGCAAGCATGAAAGTTGTTTGAGTGTTAATTTATTACGATAACTGAATTGAGGGTTTATGGAACATTTAAGACTTAAAGTATAAGTGTGGTTGACACATTTCTTTTAATCTTCATGTTTATCGTGGTCATTCTAACATAAACTTTTTCCAATTATTTTGGTGATTTCTACGACCTAGCTTAACATTTTGAATTTTTCTTGGTTAGTTTTATAAGTGATTCAAGATCAGAAAAATGTGTCGAGTTCGATATGACGGTGGAATCATTCGGAACCTAAATTTTATAGCATCAAGGACATTCAATTATTTTTAAATTCATGTAAAATAATTTCGCTGTAATTATTATAGTGATCAAAAGTCATCATTGACTCCATTCTTACGGAGAATTTGCACACAAAAATTATATTGCTTCATCTGAGAGTGCCTAACGAGCTGAGATCGCAGTATTTTCGATACTTTTTTTCTGACATGGGAGATTGGAGAAAAATAGATTTAAAAGTGAAAAAATGTGCCGCCTCACGATGTCATCTGGCGGCATTTTCCATTTAAACACATGCATTTTAGCAGATTAGGTTATTTCGATTCGATATATTTTCTCCAATAACTGTCCAATTTAGAAACCAAGGATATCCTAGTACTCAGTTTTCCTAGCAGTGTCATTTTAAGGATGAAATTCACAAAATTTAAGACACCTGCAAATTCTCTATTGACATGATACAGTTACTTTGTTTAAAAGTAATCACTATTCTGGCAACAGCTCGCTAAAAGTCTGTGAATGGAGTGAGACTGGCAATCAGCGCTAGAATCACTCGATGGAGTATGATGATTAGTTATGATCCGCCGTGTTGTAACAAACATCTGTCAAAAGACAATTTAAAATTAATGACCCGCGACTAAGAGAGGATGATAAGACGTTGGAGTGTCGTCTTTCTCGGTGATGAAAGAATTTCTGCTCGGCATAGAATCCGCAGAGACCTCAACACAGAACTTTTGAACTTGAACATTTTTAGGGCCCTAAAGGTAACGGATGATGACAGTGCTCTTGTAGATGTTGAAGACAAATAGTCAAATCGGGCATTTAGGCATAGTCAAATATTCTTACTTAGATTGAAGTGTTGATTTTTTACCCTAATTTTAGACAAAATAAGTCGTTGCTCCTGTAAGAATAAATTCTCTGTAAAAAAATGCAGCGCACAATAGTATTTTAAACGATTTTTAGATCCTGAATGCACATTTATCATGAAATTTTCAGCACGTCAAAAAAAATGGAATTTTTAAAATGTTAACATTTAAATGTACTAAAGGCATGTAAAAAAGGAAGGAACAAGGAGAGTTCGCGGATTTGAAGAATTACTTTTCCCAAAATATTGAAAATTCGTGAACTCCTTACCATAAATTTACAAAATCCCGTAGACTGTCAAAATCTGAATACCGGCCTAGGCATTTGATAAAATGCCTGATTTGACTCATTGCCTTCGACATAGATACTCTTGTAGAAATGAATAATTTTAAATGAAAAATCACTATGCTTAGAGGAGCTATTGTGCCAAACAAAGATATTTTCTCTATGGTTAATGTAAAAAGTTGTTGCAGGATTTTTCTCCCTACTGAAGGGGATCCTAAAAACAGAGTTTCTCGCTAGAAGTCTTCCAGAGAACTTTCCGGTATACTTAAGTCTCCTTTTGGTATTTCCTGGTGAAGCAAAGAGCCCAGCTCAGAATTTTTTTTTTCTAGAATAAGGTCCACTACACAGAGAGTATACCCTCCATGATTAATTAACTTCAGAGCACATTTTGATAAAAAAAAGTATCGCTGCAGACAGTAATTTGAAAAGAAAGTTCAGTCACGAGGAGTTTCTTAACGGGAAACAAGTAAAAAGTAAAAAAAGACGTATGTGATTTAAAAACCTCTCAATATTTAAGTATCCTTGGTACTTGCTTGGGGGAGAAATTTGATGACTGTGCCTAGTTAAAAGTCCACTTATGATTTTGGACCTGGGTGGACTTTATGGTGACAGTATAATCAAAGTTGTGATAATATTTACTGCACTGTGGTATAACCGTTGCAGAGTAATTATGGTTATTGCTGTCAGAAATATCATTACGTGCACGCAAAAGCCGCAACCTGGGTCCCAAATTAGTCCTAGTTTTATCGTAGAATTCTTTCCGTGCATGAGGACGCGAAGAGATGAAATGTACTGAATGCTGCATGATGTTCCGTAAAAAAGTTTGAAAAATTAGGTAAATCTTTCTATCCTGCTTGAAATTAAAATTGTGATCCCGATTTTGTTCAAAGTTTCTTTATGTATTATTACGAGAATTTGGACCTGCTCTGAGGTGCTTTTTAATGGCCCAAGTTTAGAACAGCTCATTAAATGTTTCCGATATACTCTAGATTAATTTTGTACACCCCAATCAAATTAATCAAGAGTGTTTTCTTTGAATTGGAATAAAATTGAATTCTTTTAAAGTGTAACTTTTCTGAGAAAATCAACATTTTACCAACAGTTTAATCCCTTGCGATTGAGATGCAATTTACGTTGTCATCGTCTACTCAGTGCGGAAAATGTGGATTATTTTTGTTTACTCGATGTCAACGAGTTTTTAAGTATGCAATAATTGTATGCATTTAACCATAGTGTAACCATAAATACGTATAGCGATGGCTGAAGTAAAATAGCGGATCTCTTATTGTGACGTTGTAAGGTTTTGCTCGTGCTTCATTCTTTTGAAAGGAAACAAGCCAAAATATCTATTTTGAATTTTTGTGCGTATAATCGAGTGTTGTGGTGAAAAACTCTAAAAATTTTTAAAAAAACCTCTCGGCGCATGTTCTGCTAGAAAACAGAACAAGAGCAAATTTTTGAAACGACGAAAATCGATAGGTTTTCTTTATTTCAGCCATCGATATTTCGTTTGCAGTGTTTTAAGAGTTCCGCTCTTATTTCAATTGAAGAAGTTACCCATCCTACAGCCTTACAGTCTCAAATAAACAAATTGTGTAAACAATATTGATTATCCTGCGATAATACTTTAAAGCAAATACAGCAGGAATCTCGCAACGCAATGCGCAAGATACAAAACCAAAACAGGCGATCTTCGAGTTCCACCTTTAAAAGCTGTATAAACTATAATATAGATATTCAACCTCCCTGAACAGAACATCATGTTGTGAAACAAGCATTATACTGGGTTAGGTTTTGTGTCTCAAACTGCATAATAATTCGTCCATCAGCAGCTTTTTCTATCGAAAAAAACTGTTTCAAGATGTTGGGTGTGTGAAGGTGAAACGCACATTCTTTATCACTTCTTTGCCTTCACTTTGCGTGGGCCACACAACAACCACACGGCTGGATTGTTCAATGGCGTGGCGTGCTTTGCAATACATTGATTGCTCGGTCATTTAAACCTATGGAAGAGTATCGATAAACACGGTGTTTGCAGTGGACACCTTAATAATCGATTATTTACCACAGCTTCTAATGGGGAAATATCGATAGATCGCAAAGCCCGACATGCCACTGGGATTGGTATCCATTCACTGAAATGGCCTCACCTTTTAAAATGTGTTATCAAAACGTTCCGTCAACTTTATTCATTTTCAAAAATTGTGACATATAGGTGCGCCTTTTACTTCTGAGCTGTGAAAGAGTAGATTCTGTGAATGTTTGTTACGCTTCGATCAAAGTGAAGCAAGTTTAGACACGACCCACGCACTGACAATTTGCTTTTTGCCTATCGCGTTGCTCTGTGAATTGCAGGGCAGTTATATGAGTATGTGAAGGCGAGAGGGTATTTTCAGACGTAAATCCTGCAATTTTTAATCCATTTTTTTCTCAACGGCAAGCTTTTGATACATAGCAGTCCCCTTCACACACTAATTAATTATTGCAAATTTTCGGGCGATTTGGATGGTGCTACGGTCACGCAGCAGCTTAAACTGTGTTTTAAGCTGTTGAACAATTTTGAACTTGTGCATACGTCATTCTTATACTTGCATACCTATTTAAATTTTGCTCTTGTACCATTTCATGTCGAATTACACTGGACTAAGCAAAACTTAGACATGGTATTTGCATGCTGTGTTGATTTTGATACGGTTTGCGGTGAATTAAGCGCAGGAAACAATGGAGGAACTGAAAAAATGCATTCCTCCGATTGTCACGTTGGTAGCCACCACTCATATTTTACTAAATTTCTTCATAAAAACTAGCAGGCATTTTCTCTTGACATCATCAACCGAAGCCTGGGGTTATTTTGTATTCTACTGCCCTTATTAACCAAACTTTTGAGTTGAAATTTCTCTCTTTATATGCTTCAATAAATTAATTCTCTAAAGCAAGATCTTTTCTTTCATTACGCATGCGTGTCATGCTCCTAAAGGAAAATCCACTATTTACAGTATCAGTATAATCAGCTGCCGTGCTGAGGAAAAACGCCGTATGAAAATTCGAGAGTTGCCAAATTTCCTCCTATAAAAAGTTTGTTTTTGAAGTTATGCATATTTCTCCTTGAAATTTTCAGACTTTTTAGATAAAATTACGAACAAAACCCTCTTAAAAATTGGAGAAAAAAATATTAAAACATTTTCCTGAAAACTCGTCATTTTTTGAGGGAAATTTAGCAACGCCAGAAGGCTCACACGGCGTTCTTCCTTTGGCACGTCAAAATGGTGCGACCATCGGCCAGGTTGGTATATAGTCAGACTCTAGGTCAAAAGGTCTCGGGTTCGAATCTCGGTAACAGCTAGTGACAAATTTTCACAGAACTGACGATTGGATCCGATGAAACACACTCCACTCGGCCTTAATCTCTGAAAATTTGAAAGACCTAGAGTATTAATCTGTCTATTCCTCTGATTCCTACGGTTTTTTCAGTAACCGGGTGACTCAGCGGGTGCTACATCTGAGGCGTCCATTGGATCACCAAGTATAGGTTTTTTGTCGGCCTATGAACAGAATATCCCAGCTTCGATTCTCGGCCTCGGCCAATACGGAGAAAAATCTATGGCTTTATAAACCAATAAGTGGTTCATATGAAGCACCAATAATAGTGGTGTATGAACTTTAATGATCCTCGATCTGTCAACATTTATACTAAGGTATAAATATCATACTTACTGTATATAAACCATCACTGAGGTATATAAATGCTGTTACCACTATCGGTAATGTTCCATTTGAACCACTGTTTGGTTTATATGCCATATATTTTTCTCAGTGAGGCGACTTAAATTTGATGGTATCAGAAAACGGTTGCCTGGGGCTGGTTGCACAGTAGGGACTACAGGATACGGGTCTTTAACTGAAAAAGCGCATAGAATTGCCCCTTATGATATTTAAAGTAATGCAAATACCTCCATATACCAATAGTAGTTAGTCCTCTTTACGCGAAAGAAATTTATCTGCCAGGGGCCTCTAATAGTTAGATACGTTTCTTTCGTAAAAATACGTCCAATTATTATTACAATCTTAGATAGCGCTGTCGCTGTGTGCATCTATATGCAGCAAATGCAGCACTAAATTCGATACTATATAATAAGTGAAATTACATGTTAAGGGAATCTTTACCTTCGTTACGTCATTATTCGACTGATTTTGAGTAGACACAAGGCACTTGTCGGAGAGTAACCGTAATCCAATTCCTTAAAACGCGTGCTGCTGTGGAAAAAAAGTCACCACTACTAAAAAATTCACCACTGACACGTAGAAAAGAAACCACGCAAGAGAACAAGGTTATGCGAGTCGTGGTAAAGAAACACACTCAAGGTCGCACGTGGAATTTTGTGGAAAATCTTAAATGAAAAACACCGCACAAACAAGTAACAAAACCGTCGCACAAACAACAATTCGCCAGCGCCAAAAAACAGGGCAAAATCCGAGGATTTCGCGAAAAAATCCCGAAAAACGTCCCGTAAAAATGCCCGATGCTCGCACGCCACTTGACACTAAAACCCCCGGGATGGGTAACCGCTGCGAGTCCGCCCGCCGAGCGAGAGGCCCCGCCCCTCGGGGGTCACGTGACCGGGCTTCGGCCAATCGGGGGCCTCGTGGAGCCGGCGACGCGATGCCATGATACTCGGCTTGAGCCCGTCTCGTCGTGGATAAATAAATACGGGCCACTCACAAAGGGGATTCCGCGCTGAGCTCGGTTGCGCTGGGAAAGACGTGGCAACTATGATCGGATTTCCTATGCATGATTTTAAGTGATTTTAATGCGGAAATCATTTGAAAGTATGCCCTTATCATGCACTATGAGTGTTTTATTTTCTATTCTTCTTTTTTGTTTTCTTTTTTTTTTTTGTTTTCTTTTTCTGTTTTCTTTTTCTGTTTTCTTTTTTGTTTTGTTTTTGTTTTGTTTTCTTTTTGTACTCCCTTAATACAATACTATTGGACATTTGTATCTCCGCGGATTTTTGGCGATTTATTGATTTTAGCAAATTCGGTAGGTAATTGAATTTCATTGATGCATATGTTTAAGAAAATTAACCGACAGCCTCTCTTGAAATTTTCGGTGAATTTCCTTCAAATTAACAATTGGGAGCGATTTGATTAGGATGATTACTTGCATTAGTCGTAGGATTATTATGTGCTGTTTTTTTTTAATCCGTTCAATTGCAATTCTTTGCACAGCAAATATCATCGAGGACAGCCTTGATCACTATAAAGGACTTCTTGAACTGTACATTGATTTTGAATCATTTAGACTGAAAATAAAAATTAAGATCAGTCCATGCAGACACCATTAAGTGCTCAAGAGTTTCAAAAGCCAATGTATAGGTGACAAAATAAAATAGCGCAAAACTCTCTGCGTTCTTATTTATGGTAAGATTTATTGATACAACTATATTAACTCCAGTCTTGTGCGTGTGGTATCACAAACTTTTGAAGGCAAACTTAGGAATTGACAACTATGCCGAGGTATACAACACTATTTGCAAAGTACAGTCAATTCCTAGGTTTTTAATTCACTCCGTTTCACAAAACTGATCATTTGTGGTGCAATTGTTTCGTAAGAGCTATATCTAAGAGGATACTAAGTAAGAATGTTTGCATCTAGAGACAAGACAATTCAGAGTTAATGGGTAAACTCCCAAAAAGCAACTTGAGCGATAACATTATTGCGAGATACCCCGATTTTATACGACACGGTTTATTTTATTCAGATATAGTCACTAATTTTTTTTTTTTTTTTTTTTCTTTTTATTTTATTTTTTTAAAGTTCAGGGTTGACGCAAAAAGAAGAAGACAAAAACCCGCAGGTCAATCATGCCTAATTCTAATAGCGCATCAACAAACAGAAACACAAATAAAGTTGTGTATACCACATATTTAAAAACGACATCATGACAGCACCACAGGTATTCCTTAGAGATTCGCTTTTTTTGGCCAGGATATTTGGAAGGGGGAGGGGGGATCAATTGTAACACAATAAAAATTACTTGAAGGTTAGTTACTCTAGTAATCTCCATGCTGCAAAAAAAAAAAATATTGTCATTCACCCTTCTTCATGGGTCATTGTATCGTTTGTCAAAGTTTTCTATATTTAAGTCACACATATTTTATTCTGATGCACCGATTTTTTTAAATCATTATTATCAGAGAGTAATAACTTAATCATCGGAGAATATTTCACACATACTGCACTTTTTCTATGAAGACGTGAAAGTATCACATAAGGCATTTCCAGCTGGGGAAATTAGATCATATATTGGAGGGAAATCATCGAAGATTCAAAGAAATTTACGTATTTCTTAGGGTAAGAACAAAAAACTCAGTTCTCATTTTATGCGTGAAAAGCGATGAAATAGTTAGTTTCTCACCGCGTTTATAAGTAATATTTACAGTCTATACTTGAGGCGTATAACTGGTAATCTCCACTGCCCTGTCTAAAAATTGTGCGATATTGAAGGAACGAAAAAGCCTCTATGTTCATTTTTTCTTGTGAATTTTCTGTTCTCAATCGAGAAAATTTGGAAAAATGTTAAACACAGCTAAAAGTTTTGGTTACGCCTCACAGAAAATTAATATGATTACACACTTTAGACAGGGCAATGGAGATTGCTGGTTTTGGTTCCAGATGCCTCAATTTAATCAACAACTTATTTTATAAAAATAATAATAATAAAAATAAATGAGCCGGACACTTAAACGTGACGCAATTTAAAATAGCATAAATTTCGAGTTTTTTGGGTTCGCTGTAAATAAAAAATGTAACGGAAAAAAATAATTCAAAGCTTGATGATAGACTGGAAAAAAAGTAGCTTGGATCTAGAGTGCAGACTCGTAATAACATTGACAAAAAAATACTCTGGATTCAATCAAATTTTTCCTTGAATCGAAGAGTCAAGCCTCTTGATTTAGATGGATTTCCTTCTGACTCAAGCAAAAAATCTGATTGAATCAAGAGTATTGTTTCTTGTCCATGTTTTTAAGAGTCTGCACTCTAGATCCAAAGCTACTTTTTTTTCCAGTGTACACTTGTACTTTTATTGAAACGTCACATTGTTTTGAAGGGAGCGCCACCAGGGCACTCGAAAAATCGCTGAAACGTAAAAAGTCATTTTGGACAATCCTCCACCCCACAAAAGAAAGGGCGAGCGAAAAGAAGAGGAAAAAATTAACCCAACTCGATGATTGAACTGCGGAATGGGACGGGACCCGCTCTACTCGTCGTCGGGAAGAAAATGGGAAAAAATCTCTCCAACCCCCAAACAATGAACGATTTAATGGAATACTTTTCTCAAAGTTAAGCGGCCAACGGTCGCCGACCAGCTCCGGAACGAAGAGGGGGAGGGGGGCGGATCGCGGGGGTCGAAAATGTCCAGTTTTCAAATTAACCCCGTGATTAATGATGTTCCATAAGAGACCCCGGAATTCGGGGAGAGATTGAATCGAAGAAGACAAAGAGCAGCGCCGTGTAATGCACTCCGCGTATTTATTTATTTATTTATTTTTTTTTTCGGATAAGCGGCGATTTTGGCTACGGTAGTCCGATCACAAAAGAGATGCCCTGATTCGGGCTCTTTTTCTGGTTCACTGCCCCGCGGGATCTGTTGGATTCTAGTATGAGCTTTTGCGCGCAGCTGGGATTCCGAGTGCTGGAAATGTCCGGAAGGACAAACTTGATCATTGGTCAGTTCCATTGGCCAGTTCCATTCTGTCGTGCTAAGGAAGAACGCCGTAAGAACACTCGAGAGTTGCCAAATTTTCCTGAATAAAGCATGTATTTTTGACGATATTCACGGATATTTGTCTTTGAAAAATTTCAGGTACATTAGATTAAAGTGCGTACGAAATTGTCGAAAAATTTTGTAAACAAATATTCACAATTACCCAAGGAATAACGCCGTATGAACATTCGAGAGTTGATAAAATTTATTTTAATGAAACATGTATTTTTGACGACATTCTCGGAAATTTTTCTTTGACAATTTCAGGTATTAGATTAAATTGCGTACGGAATTGTGGGAAAATATTGTGAAAAAATATTCACAATTTTACCTGTAAATTCGTTTTTTGTCGAAGGAAATTTGGCAACGTCTGAAGGTTCATACGGCGTTCATCCTTACGGCAGCATTGGTCAGAGTGGTGTATTGGTGATCTTTGGTGTAACGGTGTAATTGGTGAGTTGGTGTGGAAGAATCCACACAGCTGTTATTCTATTACACAAAATATACAAGAAAACAAACTTTATATTATGAGGATCAGTTCCGCTGATCTTATAATCGTGCCTTCATTGTTATTCAATGTCCTAGAAATATCAAAAATGACAAACATGATCACTGGAGATCAGCTGCGCTGGTGTTGGAAACTTATATTTATTTTTTAATACTGCAGATCAGAAAGAAAGAGTAAGATGTCATCCATCGCCAACTTCTTATACGACTTCTGAAGGTTGATATAGGTGACGGTTGAAAGTAAGATTTCATGATAAAACTGTTTCAATTGCAAGTGTGGACGTATGGTATCCCAACTTTTGAAGGCTGACTGCGCGATTTGCATCTGCGCCGATGTTGTACACTGTTGTTAGCACGGTCACTTCAAGGATCATTTAGAATCGCATATTAATTATTGAATACTACAGAGTAGAAAGAAGGACTAACATCCACAAATCAACAGAAGTTTTATATTGACGGAGGTGACACGAGAATAAAACGCGAAGCTTCCCCAATGTTTTTTTTTTTTTTTTTTTTTTTTTTTAAAAAACTGAGATTTCGCGATACAAATATTTGAACTCCAAGTGCGAGCGTATGGTACCCTATAACTTTTGAAGGCGGACTGAGCTACAAGCTTTTGCGCTGAAGTATAAAGTTAACTTATGATGCAGTAAACAAGTATGTAGAGCATTGTTGATTGCCTGATTTCTAATCAAGTCCATCTTTAGATTAAATTGTCTTAAAATACGATTAAATTGTTGTCAAGCGAAACAAAAGTTTACAGATACCTTGTTGAACTTTGCCTATCTTTTACAGAAAAAGCAATCGAGCCTCGAGCGAGCCCGGAATATTAAAAAAAAAATAATTTCCAGGAGTTATCAATTGTTTCAAACGGGGAAAAACAATCATGTGAACTGCCACTAATATGGCCACATAGGCCACTCTGACACTAAAAAAAAACGTGTTACTTATATTTATATACAAATTTCTTTAAACTTATATTTCCAAACAATTAAATCGTTATTTAAGGAAATTCAACCAAATAAACTCGATGAGAAATTAGGCAATCGACAATGCTCAATAAACCTTAGCTCAACAGCTACCAGCTCATTTCGCCTTCAAAAGTTAGGATACCATACGCTCGCGCTTGGAGTTGATATAGTTGTATCATGAGATCGCACCATTCAAAGAAACCAAGGATGCTTTCCGAATTTTACTTTAGGTCGACTACGTTAATGTTTATGTATACTTAATTGAATTAATCTCCATGATACAGATCC